TTCTTTGCTCTTGGTGTAAATCGAACACATTTGTAGAGTCGTTTAAATATGTTGGATTTAAATATATTGGATTTTAAACTGTCATACAATTTTTTTCATCGATAATTTGTAATTGGAACCATACTTCTTATTTATTCAAATTGTATTAATATGTAAAGACCAAGTGTAACATACATCATCGTTAAATCTTATCTTATAAAACCAGTGGAACTTCAAAATCGTTAAAATTCATGGCTCCTGCCGCATTGCACGGGTACACAACTAGTATATATAATAATCATAAAAAATACTTTAGTTTTTAATTAAAAATTAAAAGAAATGTCAAATAACCAAATAATTATTGATTTAAGAGAGTATAAGTTAACAAAGTTAGAGCTAAGAAACCCAATGGTAACAAAAGTGAAAGCCAAACAGTTTAAGAACAACCACAAGGTGGTGTCTCATTGGTTTGAGCTTGGCTTCAAAGGTCAAAAGTATCAGGAGGTCTTAGATTCAAATCCAAGAAGAAATAAAAATTCTCTTGTGGCCACGAAGGTTCAAATGCTGTGACTACGAGCTATCTGTAAAGCAGGTTGTCGTCTTGAAATTAGTCGGCTCACATAGCGGGTTGGATATTCAAATTAATAAAAAAACAGTTTAACAAGGAATGTAAATGAATTTTTTTTATAGGAGAATGAATATCAGTTTAACAAGGAATGAAATTTTGGGTTTACAGAGAAATGAGCTAATCATATTATAGAAAATTATACAGTTTTTTTTTTTATTTTAATTCTATTGATTACTGATTAATACCTCTAATAAACATCATATATATTTTAATCTCATTATCAAAAATTCAATCATTATGATTAAAAATTATTGCGTTTCTAACTTTTATTTTGTGGGTTTTACATAGATTTCCAAATAAAAATAAAGAAGTAAACCACAAATAAGAATATATTAAAAAAAGGAAAAAAAAGGAAATTCAATTATCCGCCATGAGTGGACAATGAAGCCATGCTTTGTGCAAGTTGCTCCGCCAGCTGCATCTGTAACTTAATATTATACAACCGAATAAGATCCTCCTCCGTCAATTCCACCTCCACCACATTCCCACCACCTCCGCCACCGTCTGCCGCCGTCCCCTGTCCCTCCGTCGCTCCACAATCCGGCGAATCATCCTGGTACAACCCTGGCACCACCTCCGTGGTGGCACAAGCAGTATGTACATTAAAATCACAACCTTGACAACAATAAGCCCAGTGCCTTCCCTCCAAAACCTTTCGACATATATGACAATATTCAAGATCCATATTACTTCCACGCCGTGGAACCACCGGAACACCATAGAAAAGACTAAGTTTATGTTGGTGGGTTACGTGAGTTACTGACATCGGCATAAAAGCACAACCGACGTGAAGATCGAACTCGCAGAGGGTGCAGCAGTAGGAGAAGGATTTTCCGGCGAGACCACAGGCGTTGCAGATGAAAGATCCGCCGGCGTAGGTAGGATAAGGAAGGAGGATGAGAGGGTGGGGTTTATGAGATGGGTGTTTTACGTAACGGCCGGCGTTGGCACAGTGGTCATGGAGGAAGAAGTTGCATTGGTGGCAGGCGTGGACGGCGGCGGTGGTGTTGTCACAGGAAGAGTTGCAACCGAAGCAGTTGACTTGTTGGCTTAATTCATAGACACGGTGGATTACTAAGTTGTGGGGATGGCTGAAATGCTTGTACTCCATGTTTTCCGACGAAAAGACACCGTTGATTCAGCATAAATAGATCAAAAGGAAGTGGAATGAATCGAAATCCATCTGAATTTGGAGCATCTCTGGATTATAAATTGGCAAAGTCAACGGCAATTGCTTAAAATCGAAGATTTCGGTGTGGAAGACAACTTGTGGCTTTTGACTTTTTCACCGGAAATTTTGGTGTGGAAGACGACTTGTGACTTTTGAACAAAATTGGGTGCTTAGTACGTGACAAGTAAATAAACCTCTTAATATACTATTGTATAAGAATTAGTTATATTTAAAAAAAAAAACTCTTAAAAATTTCTTTTTATGTATAAAGTATTGTTTTTTAATGCATGTTATTTAAAACTCAAGATTACAAGTAAATTATGCGTAAGTAGAACTTATTAAAGTTCCATATTTAAATTTGTGTAACTAACTGCAAATAAACATAATCAAATACGGGATAAACATCTCATTTTAATTATAAAAAATTTAAATATAATTAGGATAATCATTGAGTTCTAACAAAATACTTAATTATTATGTTTATAAAATGTTATATTATTAAACCAAAATTAAATTATTTCATTATTAAACTTAAATTAAATTATAATAAAAAAATTTAAAGAAATTACATAAAAATAAAAACTTTTAAATAGTTGATTTGATATTAACATTAAGAAAAAAAAAATTCAAAATTTTTATGATATCTTCAAAATTATATTTTTTTCACAAAAAAATTCATGATTGTTTTATTAAAAACACATAAAATCATATTATAATATCGACAGAGACAAAAAATAAAATATAACATTAAAATCGAGATGTATCTTGTTGCATTACCCGAGTACCCTTCTAGTAAAAAATAAAGTTTCTTATCTAAAGACTTTGTAATAAGTTTATAGGACGTTTTTGGACGTCTTAACAAATTTTTTAGGACACTTTTAATAAATAAAAAAATCATATTAGTTATTTTACAGGATATTTTTAGAAAGTATCCTATAAACTCATATTCTTATATTACATTTGTGTTTATAGGACACTTTTTTCAAACAATATCCTATAAAATAGCTAATATGTCATTTTTAAAAAGTGTCATAACAAACTTGTTAGACACCCAAAAACATCATATAAACTTATTACAATGTCTCTAGATATGATGTTTTTATTTTTTGCTCATATATTTTATGTCATATAAAATGGTCTATTAAGATTCTTATTTATTGGTGGCGTACTATAAATTTAATTTTAATGTAATGAGACTTGACAATGTGAATGGGAGGACTTTTGGTTGTATTTCAAACTGCATTTAAGGTTTTAAACAAATCATCTGAGGTTTAATTAATTTCAGAAGACGAAGTGTTCATTAAAGCATTCGTTTTATAAAGGGGTCTATAGGACGTCTAAATTGTCTAAACATCTTAATAAAGTATTCAATAGAATTTAGGTTTATAAAACCAAACTATAAAGTATCATATCTAAAAACGTTACAATAGGTTTATAGGACACCTTTAAGGTGTTTTAACAAGTTTTTTAAGACGATTATAAAAAAAGTGTCATATTAGCTACTTTATAGGAAACTGTTGAGAAGTGTTCTATAATGTTGATCATCTCTCTCTGTGATCTAAAGATAATTCATTTAATCTATCGAAGTGTACTATCTCTATATTCAGTTTCAACGATCATTACTGAGTTTCTTCAGTGATCGCTGAACATGTATTGTAATTCGTTCAGAGACCAGTATCCTTCAAAAAGACAAAACTCATACCACAGATCCTGCAGCGATGTCGAAGACAGAAGCTGAAGATTAGAGACCAGCAAGTTCATTATCTGAATCGGTTTTCAGTGATAACAAGCTCGCCTACACAAGTGTGAAATTTACGCAAGATTCAACGAACACTGATGAGACCTAGCGTCATTCCAGTGTTCAGCGATCCAATAAATCTTGTTGAGCAAGATAGTTTTTGTCTTGTCATTCTGTACATAAAGAACAAACTCATACCTTTCAAAGTAAAGTATTGTCCGGAGTCACTCCATTGTCTCCAAACGTGCTTACCTACTTTATGAAAGAAGACTGTTCATATATGGTCAAAAGATTGTATACTGCAACAAAGGACAAGACTTCCTCTAAATGCTTGCCACATGCTTTGTACCTTTTGAATTGCATTTAATGCAATGAATATAAATAGCCGAGTAGTTTTATTCTCAGTTACATCTTCTTCATCTTATCTTATACAAGAAGATACTTCTCTCTCTACTCTCTATCTAAGAGAAAGAACCACTGTAACAAGTGAAGAACACATTACTTCTTAACCTATTTCTTGTAGCAAATCTTTTCTTTTCTGCTATCTGTAATTTTGTGTGTATATTTGATTGTTTAGATAGATTTTGTATCTTATCTCTTTCGCAAACAGTCTATAAAAATTTGTATTGATCCTCTTTATCAATATATATTTTTAAAAGTAAAAGTTGGTGTATTTGGATTTATCCTTCCCCCTTCTACAAATTGTTACCTATAAACTTTTGTAGATCCGATTGAGACCAACTTATAAACCCATCTTTTTATAAGACACTTGTGTGTATAGGACACTTTTCAAATAATGTCGTATAAAATTTGTTAGTACGACACTTTATTTTAGAAACATTCTGAAAAACTTATTAAAACTCCTAAAAGCATTTTATAAACATAGTGTAACACATTTAGATACGACACTATTTTGTTTGGTCTTATAAACCTAAGTCATATAATATAATTTTTTTAGAACCCTTTTATATTTTAAGCATTCTATAAAATCAAATCTGTTGTAGTGATAAAATTACTATTATATAGTTAATAAAAGAGTTTTGTTTGGTAATTCATAAATTAGCTCCTACCTTTGTTTTTCAATAAGCTTTAGAGACTTTTTTCAGTTTTTCTTTAATTTTGACTCTTATTTATTGTTCGAAAATTGTGTATCATGATGAATAGATGAAAACCTACAAGACTAAAATATTGGATCGCATAGAAGAAGATAACCCAAATTCGAATTGAATTTAGGTAGAAAATGTGAGTAGAAAAACACAAAGATCTTGTTTTGTCCATATTCCAAAATTGTGACTAAAACTTCCTTTAAAGTTTGCAGTTGATAGTGGTTATCGGCGAGTGACCAACTGTTACTAGGTAGTTAATAAGGACACTATCCAAAATCATCAATAAGACTACTCATTCGTCAGCATCAGTGAGAATACTCACTGTTTAATAATATGTTGAACCATTAAGGTTCTGAGGCCTGAGGGACTGAAGCACTCATACAGTGGAACCAAACATTGAGGGTCAAATACTGAAGGTATACACTGATCAATGCTTTTGGAGGCACTCAATAATCACCACACAAGGAATGTTGCTCCTTGATCCGGTATGGGGGCGCAATCCTTTGACTCCCACCATATGGCGATCTTCAACGATTTTGGGTTCAAGTTAATTATACAAGCATGTTCTTCGTACATCCTAACTCATGTTATTAAAAAGTTGATTACTGACAACCCCAACCGATCCCACACGGAATCTGCGTCCAAGGTCCCCAATGTGTACTAACTTGTATTATATTTTAACTAAAACCCCTTTCGTCTCTTGTAAATTTCAGTTACACCAAATGATCAATTATACTAGAATCACCACCATTTGTTTGAATTGAGTAATTTTTCAAAATGTATTTTTATGTCATTTTGCATTTTCATATAACTTATCAATTAATTCTTTTTTTCTAAATGTGATTATTTTATCAGCTAACAACTAGCTTATTAGCCACTTTTTATGGGACAACCCACTTTTTATTAGACATGTGAGACGCATTAGATCTGTCAAATGGCTGAGCCTTTTACAGGAAAACCACTATGAACATTTTAAAGGTTTAACGGGTGGGTGGTGGCGACAAAGTGGTGGTGATGGCAAGAGACGGGGGTGATGACGGTGACGACGACCACTTTGCAGGTGGTGGCTGGTGGTAGTGGCAGGGACAGTGGTGGCGGCGGAGGAAAAAACCCCCTCACCTTTTTTTTTTAATTTAAAATAGGCAAAATATTAAAAAAAAATTTGCAACCAAACACATCATACCAAAACTGAACATTTTATTCTCTATAATTTCAAGTTTATATTGTTATACTTTTTCATTCAAGTTTTGGTTATTCTCACATTCTTAGCATTTTTTGTCATTCTAATTTGAACCTAGAGAGAGAGCGCGCAAAAATTCAAATAAAAACCCTAAGTATGTTACAAACCTTGAGGACAAATAAAAATTGTCCAACTAATTAACCAATGGCATTGACAACCTTTCATTTGCAATTTAAGAAAAGGTATCGGGTACTTTTACAAATCTAAAATATATTCCATCATTTGCAATCACAAGATTTTCTCATTCGGTTTCCTTCTCTATTGATGTTTCTCGCTTCTGCATATACATATAGAGAGGAGACAAGGGAAACAAAACCGTCGTTGGGGCTGCTTGGTTTAGAAAGAAAGTGTTATGTGAGAGGGACAAAATAGAAAGATTCCTTCCATAAAAAAACGTGTGCGTCAATTCGTTTGACTATGTGTGCGCCAATTCGTACGAGTATGTGTGCGTTAATTTAAGGCTATGACACATATATGGGGTGTATTTCAACTAGAGTAGACGTTCTATATATCAATATGGTGTAGTACCTTGTATCCTTGACCATGGAGTTGGAAAAGCTTGTCTTATGTAGAGTAGGTGACTTTGGTGTATATGTATCAAATTTTAAAAAGGATATATAACAAGTCACAACGCAAAAAAGACACCATAGATGTAACATAAACACCATCACTTATATTTCATATATAAGGTAATTTTGTAATACAACTTTATAATAAAGTTCTCTCACGTTCACAATTATCTCAACCATGTTTCGGCAGATCCCGGTGTTGGTGATATTGCATGCGATGATATTTGAGCATTCGGTGCCAATGCTGATATTGGAGCATTTGATGGCAATGCTTGTGGACTATGAGA